AGGCCTTTTCACACTAGACAAATCTCGGGGTTGACACAGGGTTGAAGCTGGGTTGAAAACGAATGGCGATTCACACTTGAAAAATTTCGACCCTGCGTAAACCCTGAGATTGACTTCAGCCCGGGTTGAACTCAACCCTGCTCCGAACCAGGGTTGAGATTTTCGACCCGGGTTAAAAATTGTTTGTGCTTGTGTCTGGGTTGAACTCACCCTGATAAGCCTAATTCACATGAAACAAGTGTGAAATAATGCAGGGTTGAATGGGCTACCATCGGCTCTCCCAGGGTTGAGTTCAACCTGGGTTGAGAGGCCTTAGTGTGAAAACGCATAGACATGTAAACGCACACAAAGTGGAATTGCTACTGGTATGTACATGTACATTACCAGTAGCTTGAGTCTGTGTGACCTCCGTTTGACCCAAATGGGACAGGCATGTTGAATGACTATAATTTTCTTGTGTATTCCACAATTTTTTTGCCTTCTGATACTTTTTTAAGTGTAAAAAGATTCTAGAAAGTGAGAGTTTTCTCATGTGGTATTTCATGGATGATATGGAAAACCAATATAAAGGCAGAAGTACAGGCAATCAGTTTATATGGCAGAATTGGACAAGACTAGAACAGGGCCCAATTTCACGGCACTGCTTACTGTGGAATTTTGCATTTGTGAGGCACCATTAGCACAGAATCTATTTCATAAGCTTCGTAAGTGAGGATTCTACACTTAAAAGGCTAGCGCAGACATTCTGTTCTTAAGGGCTGATTTGACACTTACTAGGAGAAAAACAGCGATCGGTCATCGTTGTTGCTGTTTTCAAGGAAAAAGACCATGCATGCATGTGATCAATGGCCGGCAAAATCTTCATGAAATTTTTTGCCCAAACAAGTTTGGGCCTGATACAGATTTAAAACCTGAAACAATAATCCCCTCTTTGTTAATGTGATCAAATTAAGGGGCCTAAATAGTTTGTTGCTCTTCACTATAAGAGGTTGAGAGAGAAATGTCCACTGCACTAGTAAACAAAGAAAATGTTTTCTTCAAAAATAGCACCTAACCACGCTAACAAACACTGGCCTAGGCAAGGTTGGACGTTGTCTACATTGCATTGTGACTAACATCCAGGGTATAAAGGTCATCCTATAATGCGACATGATGCAACTGATGACGCCGTCGGAGTAAGATGTATGCTCACGGGGCTCCCGTATATTCAAGCTCACTCGACCGAGAACAGCCTGCAATGCTGCCTGAACGTGGTGGAAACAAGACTGGCGCAAGTGCATCTCCTGCCGGACGAATGCCCATTGCCTCCCGAGGAGATGATTTCTGACGACTCCAGTGAAAAAGGGGCCCTTGGGCCCCAGCTCCCAGGAGTTCAAGGTGTTCATCAGGTCTACGCTGGCAAAACTTGTGGAGGGTTAGAAACAGCTAGAGGCCAGGCTAGCCGCATGCACAAAATTAAGATGGTTTCAATTTTGTCTAATTCATAGAATACTGGGTACAAATTCATTTCTTTTCAAAATCAACAAGGCTGATTCCAACACTTGAACTTTTTGTAAAACTGAGGAAGGATGCCTAATTCATCTTTTCTGTAGCTGTACTTATTCAGGAAACTTCTGGACCTCTCTAGTTTTGTGGATTAAGGAGAAAACATGTATAAGTTTGTACTTGGTCAATCAGACTATGCTATTTGGTAATATTAATGTTACTTTAGAATGTCTTAATTTAATAATTCTTTGTGCTAGATTCCATATCTATAGAGCAAAGATGAACAACAGGCTCCCCTCTATCTTAGTCTTAAAAAGGAGATTAAGTTGTACTATCTCTGTGAAAAACCTTCATCTATCGTAAACAGTGATAATCGAAGATTTAGTTCAAAGTGGGACTTATGCTCTAGACTTTTTCAAGAGTGAGGGTACCGCGACACTAATTTTGGTGATTACTTTTCCATATCTAGTTTTCATAATGTTCAGAACAATCTAGTGTATCTTGTGTTATGTGAATGTGAACTGAAGAAAGAGAAATAAATGAGTTACCCGGGGAAAAAAAAGGAAAGAAAAAGGAATGCAACAGACAACAGAATTTCTTCAAGGAGAAATACTAGCTGGTGTTAAAGACTGCATCAAAGGAAACCAAGATCAGTATTTGTTGTCTAGCATGGCTGAAAGCAAGGGTCCAAACATCAGTGAAGGAAAACTATATTTGTACCAACGGTTTTGACGAAAGTCTACTCGACTTAGACTATACTACAGTCAACTCTCATTAATATGAGGGTCTTACTTAATTATCTTGTATAATCCGGAACCTTGTCTTATGCAAAAACCACATTCCCACTCGTACATGTGCTGTTTGTCGATCTAATAGTTAATGGCCAATTGTTGATAGGTAATGAATTTGCTTTCAAAACAGCTTGAATGTGTTCTTTATTGAAGTGGAGAGTATGTAAAAAAAAATTTGTATGAAAATGTAGAAAATGGAAGAAAATCAATAAAATGCAACGACAGGGCAAGCAGACTCATCACCAATTATAGTCAATGCGATGAGCTCTGTGCCAATCATGGTCAGTGTCATGAGGAATGCACACGTAAGTACCTAAACATTTTAGTTGGTGACCGACTAGTGACTAGAGTTGCAAATTTACACTTGTGCAAGATGGAAGAAACCAGAGTGAAGTTTTGTATGGACAGTAGGCCAAGAGGGCATAGGTTGGCGCCTGGGCCTGGATAAATTTCAGTGGGAAATTTATTATTTACTTTAACGTTTAGGATTTAGAATTCCTTTTTCCTGGATTCTCACTAGAAAAGTTTTAATTTGCACATAACTGCAGAAAGAAAAAGGCCGAAGTGACAATCGATCATCGACAGTAAGTTAACGTCAATGTATAATTTTATTCAAGAGTTTCACGAGTAAGTTGGATGCGTGAATATTTATATGCCAGAATTTAGGGTAGGGCCTAGGCTTTCTTTATGCAAGGCCTAAATCATACATGTACATGATGACGTTATGCCCCAACGATAGCATCTATCCCAACTACATGTATAATTGGGACCGTCCAAACTACATGTATAGTTGGGACCGTCCAAACTACATGTATAGTTGGGACTGTCCAAACTACATGTACATGTATAGTTGGGACCGTCCCAACTACATGTACATGTATAGTTGGGACCGTCCCAACTATAGTGCTATAGTTGGACCCGCCCAACTAAAGACAGAGGTCCAGTGTGCATGTGCCAGCATGTGTCAAATTCATATTGTTTACGTAGTCATGTCATACATAATGTGCCATATTTTAGATAGTTGAGACATACGCTGCAGCTGAGGCTTAACAATGACTTGATGACAACAGCACCTAACCACGCTAACAAACACTGGCCTAGCCTAGGTTGGACATCCTCTACATTGCATTGTGACTAACATCCAGGGTATAAAAGTCCTCCTATAATGCGACATAATTTTCAATGTTTTTTTCACATTTTTACCTGACGAAGAAAGCTTTAATGTCATTCGCAAGTGCATTATATCCCTAATTCCATACATACGTTGTTGAAATTGCCCACGATCCATCACGATTTACGAATGATCTACATGTATGTTCATTTCGTAGTACGGATTTACACATGCCAAAATGGCCTCCAAGCTCGGCCCCCATTGTGTCAGTTATGCTGTCTAGAGCTACATGTAGGTCTAGGTCTTCGCTCCATTGGAAATGCTTAGTGACGCGCAGACAACAGACCTACATGTAGCCGTAGCTTTGGAAGCCTGGTTCGGAGACAGCCTTATCTCTGATTTCTTCACGCCCATGACTCATCCATGCATGCATAAGGGGGGTCAGTTACTATTCATTTTGCCCATATGCAAGTACGCGTACTAGACGAATGTAGATCATTCATGACAGAAAGCATGGAAAGAGTGGAGTTGTGCTAAATTTCCTACAAAATACGTTGTCTGCAGGCTTATAAATTTAGTAATTTCAACACAGCATTAAAATTGGGGTACAAAGCACTTGTGAATGACATATGAGCTGTCTTTGCGAAGAGTTTAAGTGTCTTCCATGTCAAGACATATGTAAAAACGGACTGGGCGATAAGATACATGTACCAATGGGCTCTTCCAAAACTTTGGCAGCAGTTTAGATGTCTTGACATGGAAGAGCCGTCGAGACGATGAGAGGTCAAGTGGCGTATTGTTCAACGATCTTAATTTAAAGATGGCGACTGAGCGAGCCCATTACTAGATTGAATGGACAAAGGCAAAAAGACTGGAAAATACTTGAATAATGTGAGTGAAATCATTCAATAAATGGTTTAAGAAAACGGAAAGGTCAAGGATCATGTTCGTGTGCAAAAGAAATCGCGCCCACCATGATAAGTGGGTGCACCGAGAATGTTCAGTACGCCAACACGATTTGCGCATACGGATGTGTGGCTAAGGATGGATCGGGAGCGCGAGTCCGTGCCACACTAGTGGGGCTAGCACTGACCATGGAGGTAGAATCACACTGACCAAGTTGTGACGAACTTCGTCAGCAAATTTCGTCCACTGTCCCTTCAATTTACAATCCCATTTGTGCTCATCTTTCGTACAATTCTTTCATCCTTCACCCTGAAGGCCAGTTGCTGATTTACAAGTACAAGAACTTACCAACGCCAGCCTGCTTCCTACAGAAAATCAAATCTGGATGATGTTTGGCCATGTTGAAAATTTCTGGAAACGCGTGGGTATCGTTGCTCGTGTATACCGCCCTCTATCAACGAGCTTTTCGATTCGCCGTGTGTACATCGCGCCCACACGGCGCGGCCGGGGCCCACAGATACATGCCGTTTTCTAGTACTCAATTCGCCTCCCTATCAGGTCGGTCGTATCCGAAACCAATCCCCGATTGTGGACCTGACGCGTTTTAATTAAATTAAAGAACTGTAACGTTTGGCCTTTTGCATCTTACTGAATGTTTTGTGCGACTATCAAACTTGCTATTGCACTTACAACTTCAAAGTCAGCTAGTAAAAGAACAGTTAAGGCCTGAACGGAGCCGCGGTCGAGTATCGGAAAAAGGCCATATATAAACCCAGTACGCACAGCGGGCTGCGTAAGTTTTTTCCCTAGGGGTAATTATAATAGACCCGTACGCATGCGTGTTACTCATCACAAGCACGCATGATTTATACTGAGAACATAAATACTGCGCATGACTGATAAATAAGGAATACTCTATCTAACCTCTTTTGGATGTGTCCATAACTAGCTACCGTTTCCTGTAAGGGGTATTATTATGAAGGGAGCCAATAAAGGCCTCCAACATCCAGTAGCTGGACGAAGGGTTGATAAACCTGTGTGGATATTTGACTTGCGTCGACGTTGTCACGTGTGTGATTGAAAAATCATGAGACATTACGTTCTTTTCTGTCACCTCTCAGCCCGGAAGTTACCTGTTTTCTTTCAGCACTCGAATTGCAAGCTAGCTCTCCCAGATTCTCCCATAATGCAGAGTTGTAACGAGTCACTGATTTATGTGACTCGAGTCGAGTCGTTTTACAGCAGAGACTCGAGTCGAGTCAAGTCATTTATCTCCAGGGACTCGAGTCGAGTCGCCCAAAAATGCGACTCGAGTCGAGTCATTGACTTGAGTCATTACAACTCTGATTTGTTGACTACTTTTTCGTTTTCATGCTTGGGTTTTTTCTTTTTTAATTTACCTTTATTCGAGAAGAAAATGTTAAAAGAAACTAAAGACTGGGGGACAAAAAAACAAAGCTATCCCTCCGTCTCTCTGAAGCAGGTATTAATGTGAAAAGCTGGTTTGTTTTCTTTTTTTCACAGATTTGCTGGCTTCTTGATATTTATTCTGTTTATAATGGTACATTATTTAAGATCTCCAAAATCCACCTAGGCTGATTGTGTTTGATGTTCACTCCTATCCTTTACTCATCGTCTTGACGACAGGACATGAATAAGATGCAAGCACTCGGGAAGATCTAATTAGTGATATAAGGTGCGTGATGGGGTTTCCGCTGCACGAGTCTTGAGCTGCCGCTTCGCCCTACGGAACAGACATCATTAAGATGGAGTCAGTGAGTAGGAAGAGGCAGGGAGGATAATCTGACTGTTAATGACAACAGAGATATGCACGTCAAGTGTCTTGGGTAATACCCACACGTGAAGGCGCGCGTGCGTGCGTGTGTTACGGTAACATCACTCATCAGCTCGCTGTGTAGTCAACGGCATATTTGAGTTGTTGGCTGTGGAGAGAGAATGCATGTATCATCCTGCATAAAGACGACCAAATGGCACGTACGTGAGCAACGATGTTGAGATGTTTTTAACATTCTAGCTGAGCTGAATTTGCTCGTTACTCGACACCGAAGTACAGAAACTGTCATGCGCAGAATGAACTTGAAAGGGGAGGATTTGGTCAAGATTTGTTCCCTGTATGAGAACTACAAATTCCGTACGCCACAGAGGCTACTGAACGCTCTTCCGGCGAGACCAGGGGAAACGGCCACTCATGCCCCGAGGCGTACGACAAGTCGCCGGGAGCAGATCTGTACACACTGTAGTCTTGTGGAGGAGGCCATTCTTGAGAGGCCCAGCTCTCGGAGACACCCAAGCGGGAAGTTGCGGATAAAATGTGGGGAAGAAGTTGACGAGGCGAGTGTAATTTGTCGGCTGCATCGATGTCAGATCGGGGATGAAGAGAATAGCTACAAACACGCCGACCCGCCTTTGATGGTATCTTCAAACAAACTCCCGCCGATCCCCAAGCAGATCCGAAGCAGGCCCAAGTCCAAGGGGACGCAGGGAACGGCCAAAGAAACGAGGAATCTTGAGACGACTGGAGCTGAGAAACAAGGCCGGGAAGACGGCAATGCAACCGGCAGCACAGGAAACGGCAAGGGGAGGAAAGTCGTTTCCTTTGGGGGAGCCCGGATCGTGGACGACCGGTGGCTAACCAAAGGCTGGGGCGCTCACCGTACCAATTATTCACTCCAGCTGAAACATCCGGCGTCCAGGTTCCAGGTGCCTGGGGCAGACTTAAACCAAGACAGCAATTTCTTGCCCCCGCGACGAGGGCGGCTACACACCCGGTTTCCTGTCAAGAAAGCCCGGCGTGTCCACCCTGCAACAGCTTACTCGAAGGCCGAGGATAGCCGTGGCATCAAGCCGACTTTACCGCTCGCCGGCGTGTCCATACTGAAGCCGGCTAAGCCACTCATGGTTATTCCAACACCCTGTTTTCCATGCAGCCCTGAGTTTGAACACACCTTCAAGAGCCTCAGAGGCCAGAAGAAATAATCGCACGACATTGACATTGGATTGTTTAACAATTCGAGTGTCACATTATTTAATTAAAATATATATGCGCATAAATACACTCATTATTTTCTTCGTTAACAGTAACAAGGTTTACTCCAAAATTATGGCTATTTTAGAAAAGAATGACTTGTGGCGCCCAATTTAATACCTCATTAAAGATGCACCGTGCCTGTTAGATTGCCGCAAATCCATCATAGATATGTCACATTTCGTTAATGATATTGGTGATATTATGGAAATAATACATTACATTACATTCTAACGAGATAATTCCATTTTGATGATTCTGACGTTTCTGCGCTCATCCACGGACTCGCCAAGATGACATTTTATCGATTTGAGTCAAGAAATCAAAAAAGTCTCAAATTTTATTTCGAAACGCTTTCCGACGTGTCTAAATTGAAGTTTTCTAACCCAGCCTCCCCGTTAAAATATTGCGCTTAAAATATCCCAAATTTTTCCGACAATACGCCAAATTCTTTCCGATATAAAAAAGAAATGGTTGAGACGGGTGAAATATGCCTCATCCTGCATAATTTCCTCACTTCGCCAGTGCTGGTCCAGACGGATAGCTTAAAAACCAGAGCGTCATCTTGAAAAACAACCTGACATCGATATGTAATTGTTTTGCTCTCAGCATGCAGAATGGAAACAATATTGAATAAAATTTGCACCTGAGAAAGTCTTTTCGCTGGGAGTGTTTTAACTAACATTAATGCTAACAGGCACTACGAACATCTAACAAAAGAAACACAATGCACTAACAATGAGCGTCCATTGTCATTGCACCCTGCTTCTTTGGTTAGGTGTTCATAGTGAGGACTCGCTATTTTCTGATCCAAAATTGTCTTAATGACATCTGTATAGCCGACAAGCATTTCCGCAAGTCAGCGGAAAATTGAGTCATGGGAGTTACCACTGCATAGTTATATCTCCGTTTTGTAATCAATCGAGCCCTCGTGAGTCTTGACTATGCTTATCAGAAATATCCTGCATTGTGACCGAATTTTCCAGTGTCACTAAAATGAAAGGTCGGCACAATTAGTATATGCACCCCAGCGAATGGCTTGATTATTCTAGTCCTATTCTAGTCCCATCTAGTCCTTACAAATCTCGCTCACCATATATAGGCCTATTGAGTAATGGAAAAAAGAAGAAACAGTCCTAATACAGTAATATATCAAAGAAAGATACACCAGCTAAGCTGACTTCATGTCTTTTTTCACGCTTTATAAGTCCGATTCTTTAGTACTCCGTGGTTTTAGCGTTATATAAGACGGGAAAGTTGCAGTTGCAGTAATTGATTTCATTCGTTCCAAGACTTGAGTTGGTTTTATCCTATTTGCAAAATTACTGTTTCTTTATTAAAAACTATGGACGATTTGGACATTTTAAGAACTGTTAAAGCTCTGTCTCTTTTGAAGATACAGTGTATTTATAATCATTGTTTATATGTTTTCTTTCAATTTCAAAAACGTGTAGGCCTATAGCTCATTCCAAATTATTAAATCAATTCGGCCTTTTGAAATTTGTGATGTACTCGAATACAATGCATTAGTCCTGCACTGTATCTTGGATGTTCAGCGATATGAGATTATTTTAACCGGCATACACATCAACGATGAACATAATTATTTCGTCATGCATGTCTGGTACTTTTGTTCTTGTAACATATCAAGTTTTCACGCACTAGATAGGGCGGCATTGAATTTCAACATAAATTTTGCTCTCTTTGTACAGATATAATGCTGATGGTTAAATGTATACACACGAACCCTGAGTCACTGTCGCTTTTAAACATCTCTCATAGCTCGATCCATGGTGGACTGATTTATACACGGTCGACATACGCGATGCATCTTGTGCGCTGAAGATCTCTGTAAACACAAACGTGTGTTCGCTGTTGTAAGTTGAATCAAAAATTACATCTCGGCTACTTGAGGGCCGCAGACACACTTGAACGAATCCTCGGTGCATCACAAGGACCCAGACAGTGTATTTGTCTCATGTCTTTCTCTCTGTCTTTCTCTCTGTTCCCATGTCAATAAACGGGGCACTAAGTACAAATTCCGGTATTTAAGTCTTCATGACAATGTGCTCTTGTATGATATTATCCCCGGTAATGTGTATTACGGATTGTATAAAGAACTAAAGTATATTTAATAAAAATGAGAAAAGATAATTTTTTTTGCAAAATATTAATAATTTTATTCAATGTGAAGTTAAATTTTGATCTAATGGCCACTACAAGAGATTAAAGAATTTTCTTGACCATTATAAAAAGCATCATTACAATGAGCAAAACAATCTAGTAAATCACTAAAACACGCCCAGACAATATCGGGAAGATTAAACACGCTTACGTATACAAACAAACCTGGGGTTCGAGTTTTCCCTAGTTGTTTTACTTTCCAGATACTCCCCTGATTTGTTTATAACGTGATTAAAATGTCTAGCAGTTTTCATCATCCTCCATCTTGACTCAAGCTCATCCGTCTCTGATTACATAAGCAAACGGAAGGCATACTGCATGCTCCAATGATGCGCTTAATTACCGGCACCAATTTCATCGGAGCTGAGGCAGTGTGTTGCCGGCGATGGGATCGGTCCATCGTGGCTGATCCACGGCCATCGACTTACAATACGCACGCATCTTGTATCGTTCTCGCTTGCCCGCGTGTCCTCGCTGCGAGCAAACCGTTACGAATTGCCCGTCGCTAGGGTAACAAAGAAAGATGATCTTCATGATGTCCATTTTTGTGATAAGATGTAGAAATAATGAACGCGAGTATGATCCATATTTGTGCAGGTTGAGATGTCCACACGTGTAAATGTTTTTTTTTCTATAATAATTAGGGAGTTCTATAAGCGAGGTCAATGTTGTGCGCTGATCTGTAATTCAACTCATTTAAAGGGACCATGCAATAGAAATATTTGACTGAAGTCCGTTAAATTGGACGTTTGTTTCGACTAACCTTATTTTCAATGTTTGTTTCGCTCTTTTTATCTTTTTTGTGCCTTTTTGGTTTTAAGTATATTCATGATAACAAAAACTGCAGTCACTGAACCTCAGTGTTGTGTTGATTTGTGCACAATTTTTTTTCTTTTTTTTATACTTCGACAATGAAGATTTCCGCGGAGATTTTTAAGCCAGCAAGCAACCTTTCCTCCGAATATTTTGAAAAAGTAAATTTGAGGTTCACATTTAAAAACGAATACATACAAACTTGACATTTTCTTAAAATAATTATATATTAAACGCTTAAACCGCTAGTCTTGCAATTATTAATCATGAAATGCGTGGCCTGTATTTTTCTACATTAGAAATTCCTATTACATGTGGGGGAAGTACGTAATAAAATAAATTGGCAGTGGGCGGAACTCGGTTGGTTATGATTACGGATTTTATCATCAATTCAGAATTGTGTATCTGTTGAAAGGGGGGGGGGTACAGCGTACTGATGAAGCGCACGAAGGGGCTGGTCATTACTACACAGAGTAACGGATGCGACGATCTGACTGATGTTTGGAGTTATTGAAACGCCAAATCGCCGTGAAAACTGGGAAGAGTTTAGAAACAAATAAAAACCTTAACGAAAGACACTTTCATATTGCATTTTTCGAGAATGAGAAATGGTGAAAGAAGTAGGCTACATAAGTAAATTCACTTGACAAATAAGAGAAATTCGCTAATTAATGATCACTTAACTAACGTACACTGAGACAAAGTAGAGACCTCCTAGGCTTTCAATCAACTACAAAGAGGAATCTAAATTAATCTGAAGGATTTGTACGATAGCCTTACCTAGAATATTCCTGGGAAAATGTTCCGTACCGTACACGCCTTAGACCAGAATTATGCGTCCTTGGATAGGCTATTCCGTCATATTCTGGTTATGTCTCTAAGTAGCCTAAATGAACGGATGAATATGGTCCGAATAATTTAATTTTCCAGGAATCTTAATAACATTAACAAGGTGAAATCATAATACAAGGCATATGGTAGTAAGTTTTCCAAGTGGGTTCTTGCACGCTTTCTGCGTATAAGCAAAGACTATACCGTAGATATCGTTTGGACCATACATTAAGCACAGTGTATATATTTATGACATTAAGGAATATATTCGTACTCAGCGTGCTCTGTGTCAAACGCAAACCACTGAACTCGTTTGTTCCGCTTAGAGCGGATTATTGCGTCTTCATAGAGTACCAAAGTGAATACGTCACGCGCACAATTAGCGTGTAAAAGGCATTAGCGCAATAACCAGCACGTGAACCAACACGCATGCGTACTCCTCGTTTGCACTGCACTTTCTGGTTCACAGTGGGTTAAAAAAAATGTGCTTTGAAAGACACCTGGACGTGCACATACGCGCAATGCGTCTCAGGTAGGACGCCCAGAGAACTTGCTGATAAAAATTTATCCTACCGCGCATGCGCGCCAGACCGACACTTACGGGGGGGGGAGTGAAAAACCTCTACTTTAAAAACGAGTCAACAGAACTCCAAAAGAGTGAAATTTCCACTCTTTCAATTAAAGGACGGAAGGAAAACTTGAAAAAAGAGTGGTTTTATAAAGAACTTACCTTTTGGAGAGTGAGTTTTTCACTCTTTTGCATTGATATCATTGTGTTATTGCTGGACATATTACCATGGTGCACCCAGATTTCTATTGAAAAACTTACTTGGAGTAAACTTAAAAGTAAACTTAAAATAAGGCTGCATTTTTTCGTCGTTAGACCTGCTGTACGTTTTAGTCGGAAGAGAGTGAATTTCCACTCAGATTGAGTGAATTTTCATTTTGTCTGGAGTTGTGTAGCCCTATGAAACTGAAACAGACCTCAGGTCAGGTACGCTTCAAAGTTTCCACTATTTTAGTTAAAATCAGGTCGGTTTTCGGGTTTTGCCTTTGCGATCATTTTCGATCGTTTTGTCGGGTACGGTCGGGTTGACGTAGTAGTTTTTCCTTGCTTTTTCACATCTGCGATCTAGGTTGTCGATTCCCAACTCAGTCTACAGATGGATTGGGTTTTCAGTCCTAATCCGAACCTGTACCCTCTACCGTTGGTTTTAACCAGTTCCTCCGGGTTGTTCCTCCCACCTCCGATCTGTTATCGCATTGTCTCATCATCTCTGCAGCTTCTGTAGGCTCCAAGCATACAGTACCTAGGGCGGTCAGAAGAGGAATCCTTGGTGTTACTACAAGTGATTAATTATGATTAATAATGGATTATGTTTCGGCTCACTTGATGAACATTGCCTTGCTAATTCCGTCCGTGTGCATTTTGTAGCATTATAAACCCGCAAAGAAGGGTGCATTCCTCTAAATCATTAGATTTTTACGCACGAGTTTGAAATCCTGTACGCGGGTTATTTACAACATGAGAGATGCCATAATTAGGGGGATTGTAGAAGTATTTCTATAAATCACGAATATGGGACTTGTGGCTTCCAGCTCGGGGTATTTTGTTCACAAAGCCTTCAACCTGTGGGAGGCGGGCCAGCAAGCCATATTTTGAGCTGAGCTCATACAGTTATACTACTATTTTGGGGGTGTTTTCGGAAAAGGGAGAAAAAAATCGTGTGGCTAACCCATATAAATTGAAAAGGAAACTGAACTTCTGGCAATAATCTTGAATTGCCGGTGAAAAAACAGGAAGTCAACCTCTTCCTGAGAGGCACCAGTCGGCGCTATTTCTGTCCAATTTGCCGTTTTCTAGAACTACAAAGTTCGAGAAACTTCTTTCGCCCGAGTTGTATTATTGAGGGCGCTATGCATTGTTGACGTTTCACATTTTTGGAAGTTTCTCGATACGTACGCATGCAATTTGGTGGCGGTGGAAGTTAAATTTGGAACCCGGTGCTGAAAAGAGAAATTTCTAGAAAACACGAAAATTTCATAAAAGCTTGTGAAATGGAAAGGCACAGCATAATCGATTGTTGTTCGACAGACTTCAGTAGAGCAGAAACAGTCTACCTGGGAAATTCTACTGCTACAAGCAGTGACTTCAGGTCTAGGATTAGGAAGAAAACATCTTGGTCGAATTCACTCTGCTCCGTACTCACGCTCATCGTCATCCCCTGGTCATAGCGCACCATCATGGCACCGTCACAAAAGGCACCTGCTATCGGTATTGACTTGGGCACGACATACTCCTGTGTAGCGGTCTTCCAGAACGGCAAAGTTGAGATCATTGCCAACGAGCAAGGCAATCGCACTACACCGAGCTATGTGGCATTCACGGACACGGAGAGACTCATTGGTGATGCAGCCAAAAACCAGTCTGCCATGTAAGTACTAGACCCATACATGTACTAACTTATAATAGCTTAAGAGGTGACTGGTACTGGGCCCTTCCTATGTACACATATACTCCTGCTGTTCAAAACTCTGTTTTGTGCCGTACTTTGTGGAGGACGGGCGTTTGGCCTGTTCTCTTCCACCCCAACATTTCTAAGCAATCCTCGTCTACATGTACTTCAAAACAGTTTGATAACATGCAAATGTTTTACAAAGATCTCTGAAACTTGTCTGAAATCTTCCTACAAATTTGTTTGTTCTAACCCAAAGGTTTGATACTTTCACCGCATCATTTGCATCCAAAATTGTACATACATTTCGCTGAATTCTGTATTTTAACAAATTTGCATAATTTGCCAAAATACATGTACATGTAGATATATATAGCTGAATCCTCATCACTGTGACAGAAATGCTATAAAAGGTGTTTGCTTATAATGTAGATATGAAAGTTTACTAGCGATTAATGAAATCTTAATTTAAAATGCTTCACATGAAATGTTGTTTCTCAACTGTATGCTTTTAATAATATTGTTTGACCATGACTGTGACGACCTGTACAGGTACGGTATGATACTTTTTCCTCTGTTAAAAAGGGAATTGAATTGATAATTGAACAACCGCCTAAAATATTAAATTACATTTTTCTTCATCCAGGAACCCAAAGAACACAATCTTTGATGCCAAGCGTCTCATTGGTCGTCGATTTGATGATGCATCTGTTCAGGCAGATATGAAGCACTGGCCATTCAAAGTGGTCAACAAGCAAGGGATGCCCATCCTGCAAGCTGAATACATGAATGAGACCAAGACTTTCCCACCAGAGGAAATCAGCTCCATGGTCCTAACAAAAATGAAGGAGACAGCTGAGGCTTATCTTGGACAGAAAGTCAAGGATGCTGTCATCACTGTGCCGGCATACTTCAATGACTCCCAGAGACAGGCTACCAAGGATGCTGGGATGATTGCTGGGCTCAATGTCCTCAGGATCATCAACGAACCTACAGCAGCTGCCTTGGCCTACGGACTGGACAAGAAACTGAGTGGGGAGAAGCATGTCCTCATCTTTGATCTTGGGGGCGGCACTTTTGACGTGTCTGTCCTGGCTATTGAGGATGGCATGTTTGAGGTTCTGTCCACAGCGGGTGATACTCACCTGGGTGGGGAAGACTTTGACAACCGCCTGGTGAACCACCTTGTAGAGGAATTCAAACGGAAGTACAAGAAGGACTTGACAACAAATCCAAGATCCTTGCGCCGATTGAGGACAGCGGCTGAGCGAGCTAAGAGGACCCTGTCCAGCAGCACGCAGGCAAGCATTGAGGTGGACTCTCTCTTTGAGGGTATCGACTTCTACACATGTGTCTCACGAGCCCGTTTTGAAGAGCTGTGTGCTGATCTGTTCCGTCAGTGCCTGAACCCTGTGGAGAGGGCTTTGGTGGATGCAAAACTTGACAAGCACCTCATCAACGAGGTTGTGTTGGTTGGAGGCTCCACCCGAATCCCCAAAATCCAGAAGCTGTTGCAGGATTTCCTCAATGGGAAGGAACTGAACCGCTCCATTAATCCAGATGAAGCAGTAGCCTATGGAGCCGCTGTTCAGGCAGCCATCTTGAGTGGCGACCAGAGTTCAGAGGTAAAGGATGTTCTTCTTGTGGATGTTGCTCCTTTGTCACTTGGCATTGAGACAGCTGGTGGCATCATGACTAAATTGATCGAGCGAAACACCCGCATCCCCACCAAAACATCCAAGACTTTCACCACCTATTCCGATAATCAGCCTGCTGTTACCGTGCAGGTTTTTGAGGGAGAGAGAGCCATGACAAAAGACAACCACTGTCTTGGTGTATTTGAACTTTCGGGCATCCCTCTTGCTCCTCGTGGTGTACCCAAGATCGAGGTCACCTTGGATATTGATGCTAATGGTATACTCAACGTCTCAGCTAAAGATGAGAGCACTGGTAAAAGCAACCAGATCACCATCAGCAACAACAAAGGCCGTTTGTCAAAGGAAGACATTGATAGGATGGTGTCAGATGCTGAGAAGTACAAAGCAGAGGATGAGGCACAGAGGGAGCGTGTTACTGCCAGAAACAACTTGGAAAACTATATCTTTAGTGTGAAGTCCACTCTTAGCGAGGAGGCTGTACAGACCAAGATAGCAGTTGAGGACAAGGAGAAAGCAGAGAATTTGTTACAGGAGATTCTAGCCTGGCTGGACAATAACAACTTGGCTGACAAGGAGGAGTATCAATACAAGCTGGAAGAACTTCAGAGGGTGTGTTCCCCAGTGATGGCCAAATTGTACAGTGCTGGCAAAGGGAACCAGGAGGATGTGAGTGGAGGCCACCAACAAGGGCCCACTGTTGAAGAGGTAGATTAGATATCACACTGATACATGTATTTACATTTTCTAAGCTGTCTTTCACTTTCTCGGGTGCCAAAGATGCAATGTACATAGTTGCAAAGTATTACATGTATTTCAGTCTTTGTGGCAAAGCTTTGTTTAATATTTCAAAGAGGAGAATGTTTTACCTTAGCAAATCAATGCATGTGTAATGTACACATTTTGGAAATGTTTCTTTTAGTATAATACATGTACATGCATTACTACAATTCCATTAATTCTATAACTCATCCACTTCCCAAATTCTGAAATATTGCTTTACCCAAGGAGTTTAGGTTTATAAAGGAAGTATTTTTGTGAAAACATGTTTAATAGTACCAGTAACATAAATTGTGTGATAGCATACTACATGTATATTGTAAATTTTAAACAAGTATTGAAGTAATTGTTCTTACAAAATGTTACTTTTAACAAATATTATATTACTGGTAATATTATTGAAGGTTTATATTGTAAATTTCCAGAATACTCTTGGTAAATGAATTAAGTAATGTACTACTTCATCTGAATACTTTCATACTTTAGTTTGGTTTAATGAGTTTTAGCACAAAGTATACTGCTGATTTTAATTCCCATTACAGTATGTAATACACATTCATTCAGTACAGGGTCTAGATACACTCTTTAATGTTAATTAGCAGATTTTGCAACAGTGTTGTACATGTATGTTGTTAAAAACAAGCTACAGTAGAGGGAATGAGGTGAAATAATAGCAGTTGTAAAGATGATCCAAAAATTGACTGGAGCAGCATTTTGACAACATGAAAATAACAGCTGAAGATACGTATGTAATCCAAGAACACCTTATCAAACTTTTGATGCATGAACTTTAAATGCTAGATCTGTAGATAGAAGTTTATTTTCACTTTAATGAATACATGTAAATTGGCTTTTGAATAATAAATAGCATTGAACTGTATTTTGAAGATGCATACTTGAAAGTTAAATGAATATTTATTAAGAACTAATAACTAATATTAATGTCAACCAATTTGAACCTGGCCCTATTCTCTCAAGTATAATATTCAAAGTGGACATGTTTTTAAACAAGCTCACTTTATATGTATAATGGTAATATCAGGCTCATGCCTATTCAGCCTTGGAGAATAAAGTACACAAAGTTTTTCCCCCTTTTGGGGAGGGAGCATAGACTAGCCGTCCGTTGGTTACACATCACTTCCCCTTTGGTGTATGTCTGTATGTTGTCTGACAAAGCTGTCTGTTGCTACAGATGTGGTAAAATCTCTGTGGGTTGAGCAGGGTTGCAGGATAGGATGCGTACAATTCGTCGGGGGCTATTTGCTCCATACCTAAAAACCTGATCAGATAGTGGATGCAAGATGTGAATTGAAAAGCGAAACAATACTGCCTGCAAAGTGTGACAAACCAGAGGTTGTGTGAAGGTCATTTCAATGAGTTCCTTTTCTTCATTTACACGAATGCAAAATTTAAAAAATGGTGAGAGAATATTTTTTTCTGCAGTTTTTGAACAATGGCCAGTCTTAACCAGGGAGGGGATTGTTTGGTCTGTGCTGACTTTGCAAAGCTCTTAGGGGCTGTCCATAAAGTATGTACATGTGAAATGCCGACCTTTCAGACACCCCCTCCCCC